CGGGGTCGGGCCGAGACGCGATCGCATGGAGGCGCCAGAGGCCATCGGCGTGGACAAAGCACTCACACCGACCGATCTCGTCGCCACCGGCCCACCGACGCGCCGACGTCGACGCAAGGCCGAGCCCAATCGTACGTACGGTGCGTCGTTGTGCATCGCAGACCGCAAACGGCACCACTTGCGTCCATGCCAACATCCATGGCCGTGAGGACCTCGTCGGCAGCAAAGGCCACCGTCTGCGTCGGCAAGCATTCATCCTCGAAGCCAATTCCGTGGCAAGTGACCTCGCCGTTCCCTACCAAATCTTTCACACTCCCATATGTGGCTGCATTGCGACGTACCGAGATCCCGGGTCGTGAGACGCAGCGACTGCAGGCGGCTTGTGCCGGGTGTGCAGATGACGTCGACGGCAGTGACGCGCCACGGACGCCCCGGCGTCGGGGAAATGCACGCGTTCGTGGCATCTTCAGTGAGAAGCGGCCACTGCGCGGTCGAGAAGAGGTCGACGACGCCACTCGGCATCGCGCTCTCGTCGGTCGCCGGCGCGCACAACTCGACCGCGTGGCGCAGCGCTTGCAAGACGCGGGGTGTGTTTTCTTCAGCCTTTGAGAGCGATGGGAGCAGCGTGGTGAGCAGCCATAGACACGGGACAAGCGTCTCTACGCTCTTGCTGGCTTTGACGGCGTGCAACATTGCGGGCCAGAGCGGGCTGGCGTAGAACGTCGCCGTGGGAAAGACGCTTCGTGTCGCGAGGCAGCCGAGAACGACGGCGACGCGGGCTGCTGCGGTGGCCACACACGCGTTCATTGCTGCAAAGACGGCCCCGGGGATGTTTTGCAAAAGACTCAGGAGCACTGCATAGCCGGTCGTCTGCTCGGGCGACGTGTGTCGAAGCACTTGGGCGACGAGCCGGTCTAGCACGAGCGGACCGCGCAGCGTCGTGTCCGACGCCTGGCACCGACACACACTCTGCAGAAACGGCTTTAGCAGCTCGTGCAGAGCCAGCGACGTGCCGTGCTCGCACCACAGCAGGGCCAAGGTGCCCCAGGACGACACGTGCGGCGCGAGACTGGACGAGGTCAAAAGCGGCAGCGCATACTGAAGGAGCACGACGACTTGCGCTTCATTCAGCGCACACTCGATGTCGATGCAGCTCGCTGTGCCAATGGTCTCGGGCTCCGAGCCCGAGGATGATGCGTCGTTGTCCGAGTCGGACTCGGAGCTGCTGCTCGACGACGGGTGGCCAAAGGCAAGCATGCGAGCGACGTCCGTGAAGAAGAGAGGAACGGCGTCGGGACGCGCGTGGGCGGCAGCGGCCACCGCGGCCAAGAGCTCGGCGTCGAGAGTCTCCTCGTGCACGGCGCCGACGACCTGCGCCGCCAGGTCCTTCATCGCAAGATCGCTAACCGCGTTTCCGGATAATACAGCGTGCATCCGGACTCGAAAGGGTGTTTGGTTGGAAGACAACGAATTGTAGCAAGCATGGACGAGCGCAACCTGACGTCGCAGCAGAAGGATGAGATCATCGCCCAAGTCTGTAGCGCTATGGCGATGGCAGCTGCTCATGAGCCTCGTAGGTGCGCATGGAAGTCCAGCAGCAGGCCATGCAGGAGCTGACCAAGGCTCTCCAGGAGAAGTGCTTTAACAAGTGCATTACGCGCCCGCAGGACCGCCTCGACAACAAGCAGCAGCAGTGCCTCTCGCTCTGCGTCGAGCGGTACATTGACACGATGAAGATTGTGTCGGGTGCCATCCAGCAGCGTGGCCAGCGGGTATGACGACGACGCTGCGGCCTACGTAGTGGTGCTCATCGACGCCGCTTCGTAGGGCTAAGCCGCCGATCCTTCGGGAAGACCACACGACGACAGCCTGTACTTGTGCCTGGCAACGTTCAACTACACAACCCAACATCGTTCCCGATAGAGTGCACTAATGACTGCGTCGTCATCTACGATCTACTTGAGTTCGCCCTTCGTTTCGCCAAGCACTTGCCCCGATCTGCTCTTGCACGACAACAGAGACGGACCAGCAGCAAGTAGAAGGAATTGGTCGGGCTCTCGTTGACGGCACACATCCACAGGGCTTCAGGCGATGTATGAACGTTGTGCAGACCCGTGCTGGCGGTGCCATGTTGGCGCGAGGCGAGAAGAATGGACTGGATGTGTGTGTGTATTACAGCGAATAGATAGGAAGTACAACCCGAAATAGCAGACTTGCATTTGCATGGTGTTACGAAGCAGAGAGAGAATTTAGTTCTTCTCCTCGGCGCGGCGGGCCAATTCGGTCAAGGCGTGGTCGCCCTCACCCTTGTTGCGGATGTAGCCGGCGAGCGCGTAGACGTCGTTGTGGCCGGTGTAGACACCGTTGGCATCGACCTGGGCGACGGCGATCTGCACCGAAGCGTGGTCCTTGGCCGCGAGGATGCGGTTCGTCCACGAGCACTTGCGCGGGATGTAGAGGTCAATGTTCTGGCCGGCCAAGTTTTGCATGTTGAGAAGGTTGTAAATTCACAAGTGATTTTTATAGCCCAAATCCCAAGCCTTGCTGCTGGCTCCCAACCAACCAGTGTGTACGTTACCTGCCAGGCATACAAAAACCAAGTGCGTCTCTGGCACCGGCCGTCCTTTCACCAACCGTTTATACTCGAGTTTAATATGCCACTTGGCCAGCCCCGGAATTCTCTCCGGATGCAAGACTAGACAGTATTTCTTGCACACATAAAATTAGTGTAAGTCGTTAGAGTCGTCAAGTTGAAGTGAACGGCGCTAGCTAAAACGCGTGTTCCAAAAGGCCACCACCACCCTTAACCACCCTTAAACACATCGAGCGAATACATTGTGCTTAGTAGAATCAATGAAACTGGGACACCAAGGCCCACAGATTCATCTTGCAAGTTACGAGTCGTCTTGTGTGACCTTGGCGACGACGCCAACGTTGATACGACGTGGGGTGCGGAGTCCTAGTAGGTTAGTCGCTACTATTAATAGTGTGCGAGCGAGCACTGCACTTGTTCAGCCCATACGCTGCACGCAGCAGTACAGCTGTCCAACACCAAGTCTCATCGAGAGGGCTCATTTGCTTTGCATAGGTGGACAGTGGATCGGAGCCATGACCCATTGATGGGCAGATTCTTCAGGACTTGGAGCCCAACGTAGTAGCACGGTGGGTGATGGTAAATCAACTGGACCCCATGACGGAGAGGAAGGATCCGGCGGTTGATATCACACTATAATATTATAACACTATATACGTTGGAAGCGTACGGTTGGCACAACCACGGAAGCTGGTCGATGTCGCGCCTCACGAAGAAGGGCCGGGCGCCGCCGGGCTACGAGTACCTCGCGCCGGTCATGGAAGCTCTCGAGAGCGAGCTGCGTGAGCGCATGAACGACCCGCATGACGGTCTCCGCAAGTGCGAAGTGCTCTGGCC